GTGGTGAAACACTGCGACGACACTGAGCGCTTGCTGGGAGGAGGGAGGGAGGGAGAAAAAACACTGCGACGCCACAGTGTGTTTCTCCTCTGGCCAGACGCCTCTGGCTCTCCCCCGTCGTCCTCATGTCCCTCATTCCCTCTCTCCCCCCCTCTCTCAATATCTTTCTCTCTCTCTCTCTCTCCCTCTCTCTCTCTCACACTCGCTCGCTCGCTCTCTCTCTCTCTCTCTCTCTCTCTCTCGCTCTTCCTCTCTCTCACATTCTCTCGCCCCCGAACCTGTCTGTCTGCCTGAACCTATGCCTGCACATCGTCATCTGCCTCTGCCTCGGCCTCTGCCTCTGGGGACTCACCAAGCAGCCCAATGCTCCCATAAGAAGCCGCCCGATGCTCCCTCATGCCCGTATCCCTGCCCCCACCGCCCCACGCGTCCAATGGCGAAAAGCACGTGCTCGTTCATGTAGAGGCAAAGCCTGGAAGGCAGTGCGCTGTTGCGCGGACAAAAGATGGATCGAAGGGAATTCACTGGGGGGGGCCTGTGGACCCGACCTGGAATCATATATGATGTTCCCTCCGGGAATCGCGGGGCCTATCCCAAACTGGGGAGCGGGATGGTGGGGCTGAGACATCATGGCCCGGTGGGGGTGGGGATACAGTCGCCAAGGACATAAGAACATCCTCCAAGAACATGAAACCACACACACACACACACAACATCCAAGGGCATCCTCCACAGGATGCACAGGAACATCCAACAATCACGATGAACACTGGGGCACCTTCACCGAACCGACCTCGATCTTATACCTTGGTCCAGATGTGAATTGGGCGATACTGAGGGACGGGATTTTGGGGGGGCCCGCGGGCTTGCACAGCGCCCCGCCGACGTAGGGCACGGGCAACCAGGCCAGCGCCACTCCCCTCGCCGTCGCCTCGCACACCTGGGCGGAGGGCCGGCGCGCGCGACGAGAGGCAGAGCACACCAGCGACCCGCGGGCGCATGAAGCACACATGCCCGCAACACGGCAGGCTCGTGTCGTGTCGACCCTGGCGTTGGTTCTTGACACCTCGGGGATCGTTCCACCTTGAACGATAGGCCGTTTCCGAAACGTCAGATCGCTCAACATCGACCGACTCTGGGTCGCCAGCGGCGTCCAACGTTCAACGTCAGCGGCGGGGTCGCCGCCGGTCGACACGACAACAACCAACCGCACGCACACATCTGCCCACGCCGCGCCGCGGCTTGTGTGTGTGTCGGGCCCCTGCAACACCCCCAATGCCGTGCTCAACGATAGCCGAGCACCAAACCCCAGATTACGCCTCTGGCCTTATGGCATAGAAGCGAAGCCAGAAACAATCTGAAAGTAACGAGGGACGTGGACTCCCCAACACACACCCCTCACCCCACCCTCTCTGGCCTCCAAAACCACAACGCAATGACGGGAGAGAGCGCGTTTCACGGGCGCTTGCCTTGGGAACATTCGGCGGCGCGTTTCGAAACGGGGGGGGGGGGGCCCAACAATCGGCGCCGTCGATCAAAACCAGGGGGGCCCCCTCCCCCCAAGCCCGGAAGGGGGGGGGGGGGGTAAAACCCCCCCCCCTTGCGCCGGCGCTGGCGGCCGCCAGCAACGCCGACGGCGGGGACGCAGCGACGATGACCAGAGGCAGCCGCCCAAGGGAGTGGGGAGCCCAAAACACTCCCCCCCCTGGCGCCGGCGCCGGCGCCGGCGCTGGCGGTGGCCAGAAGCGCTGGCGCTGGCGCCGGCGACGGCGGGGACGCAGCGACGATAACGACCACTACCACCACCACCACCACCACCGCCTCAACCCACCACCACCACCACCACCAACCCACCACACAACCATCACCACCACCACAGCAACCACCACCACAGCAACCACCACCACCACAACTCACCATCACCACAAAAACCCACCACAACTACCACCACCACCACCACAACCTACCACGCCTCCACCACCACCACCGCCACAACCACCACCACTACCAGCAGAATAACCCACCACCACCATCACAAACCACCACACCACCACCACCACCACCGCCACCACCACCACTACCACCACCACCACCACCACAAACCACCACCACACCACCACCAAACCACCACCACCACCAACCCACCACCACCACCGCCACCACCACCACAAACCATCACCACACCACCACCACATCAGCACCACCACCACCACCACCACCACCAAACACCACCACAACCCCACCACAACCCTACCCTACCACCACAAATCACCACTCCACCACCCACCACAACCACCACCACCGCCGCCACCACCACCACAACCGCCACAACCCACCACCACCACCACCACCACCACCACTGTCGTCCTCGTTGACGCTCCCCGCCGCCGCCGCCCGCCGCCGCAGGAGCCGGCGCTGGCCCAGAAAAGGAAATCGTCGTCCTCGCCGCCGCCGCCAGCCGCCCGCCGACGCAGGCGCCGGCCCGAGGAGAGAGGAGAGTGAGGGAGGGAAGGGGGGGGGGGAAAGTTCGAACCCCCCCACCCCTCCGTCACGGGAGGGGGGGGGGGTCCGGTTCCACGCACACACCCCTCCAAGCGAGCACAGAAACGCTCTTTCATATATATATATATTATATATATATATATATATATGTATATATATATGTATATGTATATATGTGTGTAAACACATGTATATGTACATATGTGTGTATTATATAAATAACTATCTATATATATATATATATATATATATATATATGTTATGCGCTGGCACAGCCACATGGGTGCGCAGAACTGAGGGGCTCACAGCATGTATGGCGCGGCACCGGCCAGTTCGAAGATTTCGCGATTCGCGCTCGTCCTCAAAGCAAACCCTGTAAAAGCACAGGGAAAGTGACCTGGTCCCGCCATGGAGAGTCGAGGCCGCAAATTCCAAACCCCAGACCTGCTCCCCTGGGGGCCGGGACAGCCCCAGGACGCGGAACCCCTGTAAAAAACACAAGGAAAGTGAGCCCCGGTCCCCCCATGGAGATTCCAGACCCAGCCCCAGGACGCGGAAACCCTCTAAAAACACAAAGAAAATGAGCCCTGGTCCCCCATGGAGAGTCGGGGTCGCAGATTCCAGACCCCAAACCCGCCCCCGGTGGCCAGGACAGCCCCAGGACGCGGAAACCCGATAAAAACACAAAGAAAGTGAGCCCCGGTCCCCCCATGGAGAGTCGGGGTCGCAGATTCCAGACCCCAGACCTCCCCCCCCAGTATATATATATATATATATATATATATATATATATACTAGAACCATCGAGCGCGCTTCTCTCGCGCTCAGGTTCTAGCCCAGACTGGGGGCGCGATAGAAGATCTTGGACAGCGCTATCAAGCACAGGCGAGTGACATAGTCGTGCCTCCTGATGGCCTCTTAGGAACCTCTTGGGTCTTCGTGGGGGCATCTGAAGGGCTCCTGGGGGGTTCTCTGTGCTTCCTCAATTGGCTGTTAGAGGCACCTCTTGGGTGCTTCTCGGGGGGGCATCTTGGGGCTTCTTGGGGTCCCTTGGGGGCATCGTCAGGGTTCTCCGGGCCCGACTTGAGGCCACATTGGGGCAATCCGGAAGCCTCCCGGGGCCTCCTTGAAGCACTTTTGATGCATCGAGAGCACTGTTCGGCTATCTTGGGGCCCCGTGTACGTCTCCTGTTAGCCTTTTGGGGCCTGGTGAAGGGCTTTGGGGGGCCTCGTCGGACCACTTGGGGACTCTTGGGGCCTCCTGTGGGCCTCTTAGGGCGGAAAGCTCTGCTGTTGGGTTCGCGTTCCCCTTCTTGGGGCTCTCTTGGGGCCCTCTTGGGGCCCTCTCGGGCCGTCTTGGGCGCCTCGGGCACCGTCTTGGGCCCTCGTGGGCCGTCTTGGGGCCCTCTTGGAGGCCTCTTCGGCTATCTTGGAGCGGCCGTGGGGGCCACTTGGGCCGTCTTGGAGCGTCGGGATGCAAAAAGGCTGGGAACTCTAAAGTCCATCAAAAGCCGATGGGAAAACAACGCTTCTTGGAACCTCTTCGGCCTTCTGGGGAGCTTCTTGAGGGCTTGGGTCCCATTTGGGGGCCTCTGGGGCTTCCTAAGAGCCTCTCGGGGTGGAAGGCTCGGATTGTCGGTTCGTCTTACCCCTCTTGGGCCCCCTTGGGGCCGTATTGGTGCCCTCTCGGGCTGTCTTGGGCCCTGTTGGAGGCCTCTTGGGCTATCTTGGATTGGCCTTGGAGGCCTTTGGGCCGTCTTGGAGCGTCAGGACGCCAAAAGGCCGAAAACTCTGACATCAATCAAAAACCTATGGCAAGACATGGATGTTTGCCTCTTGGGGCCTTCGTGGGAAGCCTCTTGGATACTCTTCGGCCCCTTGGGGGGCTTCTTGGGGCCTCTTGGGGCCTGTTAGGGGCTTCTCGGGGCCTCCTGAGAGCCTCCCGGGGTGGAAGACTCGGATTTTCGGTTCGTGTCAACCCTCTTGGCTCCATCTTGGGACCGTCTTGGGGCCCTCTCGGGCTGCCTTGGGCGCCTCTGGCGCCATCTTGGGACCCCCGTGGGCTGTCTTGTGACCGTCTTCGAGGCCTCTGGGGATGCCTTGGAGCGGAAATTAAAGCCTCTTGGGCCGTCGTGGAGCGTCAGGAAACTCAAAAGGCGAGAACTCGAACATCGATCAACAACCAAAGGAAAACAAATTAGTTGTGCCTCCTGGGGCTCCTTGGAAGCCATCTTGGAGACCTCTTGGGGCGTCTTCGAGGCCTCTTGGACAGTCAGGGACCAATTCTGGGGTGATCTCGGGCGGTCATTGGTCGTTTTCGTTGTCTGGAAACGCCAGGGCCGTCTTCGGGCGACTTTACAAGGCCCCCCCACGGTGCGAGGGCCCCTTCCCGGGCCCCGCCTCGTGCCCGCGGCAGGGCGTCGCTGGGCCGTCTCGGCGCCCTCGTGGGGGCCTGTTGGGGCGACATTGGGTGTCTGGAATCAAGCCTTGTGGGCCGTCCGGAGGCCATCTTGGGCGTGTTCGAACGATATGTCCTCGTAACGGGGCCTCTGGGGGGCCCCTTGCGGCCCTTTTCGTCTGTGTTGGGGCTTTCTTGGGCCGTCCAGGGGCGGCCCTGGACTGTCTCGGCGCCCTCTTGGAAGCCTGATTGGAAGATTTCTGGGTGTCCTGGACCGTCCTCCTTCAACGTCGGCGGCACTGGCCGTAAGACTTCCTGGGAACATGATTTGTTGGGGTGTCGTTGGGCGCCTCCGGAGGCTTCGGGGCCTGACGCGGTTCCGAGCGTGGCGGCAGGTAGCGCTGCTTGGGACTCTCGTTTTTTTTTATCCTGGCAGGCGTTTACAAACATGGTTTGAGGAGAGGGCGGCAACCCGAGAATCATGTTCCCGGGAAGCTTTCCGGGAGCATGATTGTTTCGGCTCTCTTAAGAGGGGGGGCTCTGCGGGCTTGCCGAGGGGCCCTTTTTGGCCTTGTCGGCAAGCCTATTGGAAACATGGTGAGGCGGTGGGCGGAAGCCCAAGCCCAAGGAATCATGTTCCGGGACAGCTCTGGGAAATACGATTTACCGAAAGTCTCTTGGGGGCCCGCAGGGGGCTTCCCTGGGGGGGCCTTGGTCGGGGATCTTCTAACACGGGTCAATCCAGACCAGGGTCAGCAGGAAACCACAAAAAACTGCAATGCAGGAAAAAATTAGCCTGGCGAAGGACCCAACCATATGCAACTGTGAATACCGCAAGTGTGAATATCGTTTTCGGCGGCGCTACCTCTGGGTAGTGGAGACGCATGCGAACACCCCCACTGGGGCCTTCGGTGGAGCTCCCTATGGGGCTACGAAACGCTGCCCTGGGTGGGGGGCACCGCCCCATGGGGCCTTCAGGCACGCTGCCCACCGCATGCGGGCCTTACGGTGGAGCTCCCTCTGGGGCTACGAAACGCTGCCCTGGGTGGGGGAACCGCATGAGGGCAGCCCCACTGGGGCCTACGGTGGAGCTCCCTATGGGGCTACGAAACGCTGCCCTGGGTGGGGGAACCGCATGTGGACACCCCCACTGGGGCCTTCGGTGGAGCTCCCTATGGGGCCACGAAACGCTGCCCTGGGTGGGGGAACCGCATGTGGACACCCCCACTGGGGCCTTCGGTGGAGCTCCCTATGGGGCTACGAAACGCTGCCCTGGGTGGGGGAACCGCATGTGGACACCCCCACTGGGGCCTTCGGTGGAGCTCCCTCTGGGGCTACGAAACGCTGCCCTGGGTGGGGGAACCGCATGTGGACACCCCCACTGGGGCCTTCGGTGGAGCTCCCTATGGGGCTACGAAACGCTGCCCTGGGTGGGGGAACCGCATGTGGACACCCCCACTGGGGCCTTCGGTGGAGCTCCCTATGGGGCCACGAAACGCTGCCCTGGGTGGGGGAACCGCATGTGGACACCCCCACTGGGGCCTTCGGTGGAGCTCCCTATGGGGCCACGAAACGCTGCCCTGGGTGGGGGAACCGCATGTGGACACCCCCACTGGGGCCTTCGGTGGAGCTCCCTATGGGGCTACGAAACGCTGCCCTGGGTGGGGGAACCGCATGTGGACACCCCCACTGGGGCCTTCGGTGGAGCTCCCTATGGGGCCACGAAACGCTGCCCTGGGTGGGGGAACCGCATGTGGACACCCCCACTGGGGCCTTCGGTGGAGCTCCCTCTGGGGCTACGAAACGCTGCCCTGGGTGGGGGAACCGCATGTGGACACCCCCACTGGGGCCTTCGGTGGAGCTCCCTCTGGGGCTACGAAACGCTGCCCTGGGTGGGGGAACCGCATGTGGACACCCCCACTGGGGCCTTCGGTGGAGCTCCCTATGGGGCCACGAAACGCTGCCCTGGGTGGGGGAACCGCATGCGAACACCCCCACTGGGGCCTTCGGTGGAGCCTTCGGTGGAGCCACTATGGGGCTACGAAACGCTGCCCTGGGTGGGGGAACCGCATGCGAACACCCCCACTGGGGCCTTCGGTGGAGCTCCCTATGGGGCCACGAAACGCTGCCCTGGGTGGGGGAACCGCATGCGACACCCCCACTGGGGCCTTCGGTGGAGCTCCCTATGGGGCTACGAAACGCTGCCCTGGGTGGGGGAACCGCATGCGGACACCCCCACTGGGGCCTTCGGTGGAGCTCCCTATGGGGCCACGAAACGCTGCCCTGGGTGGGGGAACCGCATGCGAACACCCCCACTGGGGCCTTCGGTGGAGCTCCCTATGGGGCTACGAAACGCTGCCCTGGGTGGGGGAACCGCATGCGAACACCCCCACTGGGGCCTTCGGTGGAGCTCCCTCTGGGGCTACGAAACGCTGCCCTGGGTGGGGGAACCGCATGTGGACACCCCCACTGGGGCCTTCGGTGGAGCTCCCTCTGGGGCTACGAAACGCTGCCCTGGGTGGGGGAACCGCATGTGGACACCCCCACTGGGGCCTTCGGTGGAGCTCCCTATGGGGCTACGAAACGCGTGAGAGGTGTGCCGAGAGCAGAGGCAAGGAGGGGGAGGAGGGGCGAGGAGGAGGAAGGAGGAACGCGGGGCACCGTCTCTTCAAAACGAGGACCCAACACCACAGGATGGTTGGGAACAACTGCAACGCAGGTCTTCGCAAACCCAGGTCAGCCAATGTGCGCGGCCGCCTCGCGGCCACGAGCGGCTCGCTAACCCGGGTCAGCCAGAGGGGGTCTTCGCAGGATCCTGCAAGATCTGGCGCTCTGGCTGACCCCCGCTTGCATTGACCCCCGTCTCAAGGCTCCCGACTTGGGGGCATATTGGGGCTTCCGGGGGGCCTCTTGGGAGCCTCACGGGGCTTCTTGGGAGCCTCTTGATGGCCTCCGGGGGCGTCCCAGGAGCCTCTCAGGCCGGAGACCTTGAAATGTCGCGCTCCTCGGGCCCTCTTGGGTCGCTCTTGGGGCTCTCTTGGGGTGCTCTCGAGGCCATCTTGAATTACCTGGGGAGCCTCCTGGGCCGTCTCTGGTCTTTCCTTGGGAGCCTCTTCGGCCGTCTTGGAGCGATCTGAAGGGCCTCTGACGCCGTCCGGGACCGTGTGGATGCGGAACATGCGAGAGCACAAAAATACGGGCCCTTTGGAGAGGCCTCTGGAGGCGCTCTTGGAGCGTTTTGGCGGCGTCGTCGGCCGTCCTGGGGCCATCTTCGGCGTGTCCGGGGCCTCTTGGGGCTGTCTTGGCAATCTTTAGGGCCCTCTTGGCGTGTCGTGGCGTGTTCAGGAGCGGGCCCGGGCAGTCCCGGGAGCCCAGGGGGCTGTTGAATGCTAGGTGTTGTCTTGGAGGCGGAGGCTGTTGAGTGCAGGGTGGCGCGTGCCACGCAGAAGGCGGGCGAGCGGCCGGGCGGGCGGCGGGCGGGCGGGTGGCGGGCGGGCGGGCGGGCGGGTCGGGATTTGAATGAATTCCTTAAGGGTGCTCTCTTGCAGCGGGAGCTTGTTGAGTGCAGGGTGTTGCCTTGAAGACGGGGGCTGTTGACTACAGGGTTTTGTCTTGGAGACTGAAGCTGTTGAGTACAGAGTGGTGCGTGCTACGCGGACGGCGGGCGGGCGGCGGGTGCCCTAGGTGGTGGGTCAGAGGCCTCATGGGTGTTGGTTTGGATCTCGTGGTTGGCCTGTCGGGGACGTCGTGAAGGCAGTTTCGCAGCTTCTCGGTAGCCATCTTGAAACCGTTGTGGGACCTCCTCGGGGCTGTTTTGTGGCCTCTTGAGGCCTTGTTTGGGTCTCCTGGGTGCCTTTCGGGGCCTCCTGGGGCCTCTGGGGGGCTCCTTGGAGCCTCCTGGGGCACTCTTCAAGCGGGAGGGTCGAATTTTGGAATCGTGGTCCCCCTCTTGGGCGCATCTTGGGGCCGTCTTGGGGCTCTCTGGGGCGCCTCTGGGGCCGTCTTGGGGCCCTCTTGGGCCGTCTTGGGGCGCTCTTGGGGGTCTATGGAGCCGGCCTGGAACGTCGGACAGCCGAAAAGGCTGGAAGGCCAAAATCTCTCCAAAACCTTCGTAAAATTTACGATTTTGGTCTTTTGAAGCGCTCGGGAGAGGCGTCTTGAAGCGTCGTGGAGTGCCTTGGGGGGGGTTCTCGGGCCGTCTTGGGCCTATCTTGGGCGTCCAGGAACGGTCTTTCGGCGACTCGGAGCCCGCTTGAGCCGTCTGGGGAGCCTCTGGAGGCCCTCCTGGACTATTTTGGACGTCTCCGGCCGCCCCGTCCTCCGATGGGGGGTCGGGGCAGCTGTTTGTGGGCCCCGGGCCTGCCCCCCAGGGACACACATATGTGCATACATGTGTATATTACAATAATAATATTAATGAAAAATAATAATAATAAAAATAATAATACTAAAAATAATAATAATAATAAATACTAATAATAATAGTCATACTACTACTAATAATAATAATGATAATAATAATAATCATAATAATAATCATAATAATAATAATAATATACGAAGAGTACTAATAATACTATTGGTAATAATAATGATAAAAAAGGAATAGTAATAAAAATAATAATAATACTAATAGGAAGAATCATAATAATAATAATAATAATAGTACATGAAAAAATAAATTTACTCTGGGTGAAGCCACAACCTACACTAGGAGGGGGGTGGGGAGAGGGACATTTTCCTTTTGGCGCTCTGTGTGAGTTCAGCCGCTCTGCGGTCCGCCGTCCGCCCACTTGGGGCGGAGGAGAGTTGCGAGGGGGGGTGGAAAAGTGTAGCCTGCACGAGCCTAAAAACGGCTTCAGCGAGAGAGGGAGGAGAGGACAGCAGCGTACACAGAGGACAATCCAGACGTTAGAGGCGGGGCCCTAACAAAAACAGTTTCTCCAGCTGAAGCCAAACCCCATGCTAGGAAGAGGGCGGGGGGAGGGTCATTTCCCCCATGGCGCTCTGTGTGAGTTCAACTGATTTGCGATCCGCCGCCGCCGCGACGACAGAATTCCCACAATGGGTTGACCAGAGACCCACGACCAGCAAACCTAAGAAAGTCAGTCCAACAGACAATCAAACATGCGAGCAAGCATGAAGTCAGTCACGAAATACGTTAAACCAAAATGCAAGAAGCATGAATTCAACCAGGCAAGACATCTCACACGCGAGCACGCAGACAAGCAAAGTAGCGAGGAAGCAAGCTTCTCGGCAAGCAAATATTAAAGCGCAAGCGGGATTGTACGTGCGCGCATAAGCAAGCGAGTAAGCACGCAATCGTAAAACAGGCAAGCAGGGGGACCGAGCGTGAAATGCGCGGACATTCGCTGAACTGTCGGAGGAAGCAAGGGGTTGAAAGACGTGCCCAAGGTCGACTCTACTAGGACGTCCCTCCCCCCCTTCCTGCCGTCCTCCCTCTTTTTCCTGCTAGGAGGAGTGGGAGAGAGAGGCTGTGGGTTCGGTGAAGATTGGATCCTGGATGTCTGATTGAGAAGAGCACCCACCTGAATTTCTACGGGCGCCCACCCGTGCTGGTGGTGACGCTCCTTCCCACATTCACTGCGAGTAGATGCCCCCTACTCTTTGGGGCAAGCAAACAGAACCACTGGTTAAGATGGGAATGCGGTGCAACTTACAGCGCGCAACTCCATTGAGAGACTCTTTCGGAGGTAAGCAATCCCCTAAGGGACTGCAGCCGATGTGCCCTGTGCAAGCCAGGCGCATGTGGCCCGTTCAATCCCAACTGCAACAGATTTACTCTCTACTTACAACCCTTCGCGTGCTGAAAAGCACATCTATACTGCCTCACGCGAGCGCAGCCCTCCTACAAATCGAAGCAGCGCGGCCTGCTTAACGCCCACAACGCTGCACAGCTCCGCATCATCGGCGTCGTCGTCGGGGCAATCGGTGATCAGGTGGTACCAGTCCTCACAGCGGAGACATGCAGCTCAGTCCAGCGCGCTCTTCTGGGCCACAAAAAAACTACATGTATCTTGCAACGTACATTCGGATGCCTCCTCGCGAACTGGCAGAGACTCTCCATTGCTCGGACCTCTACTTCCCGTGCATTTGCCTGCTTCGTGCACGCATTTGTTCGCAAGATGATCCAAGATGCTCCTAGATTGTCCTCGCCCAGAAAAAATGTTACCCCGTGCATGTTTCTGTTGCGCGCGTGTATTTTTCGAAAGATGACCCACAATGCCCGCCGATGGTCCTCGCCGAAAGAACTACACGGGTCCGAGCGATACCAGGCTGAAATAACATATGTTTTGAGGGAGCCAAGTTTTGGACTGCCTGGGGCGTCCTCTGGGACCTTTACTTGCCATGCCGAGCTTCTGTTACAGCATTCTGAGGCCTGGGAAGAGCCACGGCAAGCCGAGAACGGCGAACAACAAACCTTGGACCGTTTTCCCTCAAGACCCCTCCCCTTCACGGCGAATCCCTGGACACCGGGGCTTCTTAATGGGACCTACTTGTCATGCCGCACTTTCTGTTACAAACCCTTCTGGGGCCTGGGAAAGAAGACCACGGCAAGCCGAGAACGGCGAAAAATCGGCGGCGAGCAAGGGGAGAAAAAAAGAGAAGGCCTTCTCAGAAGGCAGCGGGGCTTCTCAGAAGCCCTCGAGCCCCCTGAGAAATCTTCTGCGTCTTCGGCGAAGGCTTAGAAAACCTCTCAGAAGGCCCGGGGGCTTCCGAGCCTCCTGAGAAGGCCCGCCCCTTATCACTTCCCCCACGAGCTCGCCGACGAAAAAAACCTTGGACCGTTTTCCCTCAAGACCCCTCCCCCTTCCACGGCGAATCTTGGGCGGCGCGCTGGAACCACCACACAGGGGGTCGGCAACGCCTGCTGTCCAGGGAGGGCCTTCCATCCGAAAAACTGTCCAGAGCCAGCAAGCTGGGCTGCGCAAGGAAACCAAGAGCATCCATCTACAGAGCAGGAGCAGGGAGGAGGGAGGAGGAGAAGGAGGAGGAGGAGGACGACGACGACGACGACGACGACGAGCAGCAGCAGCAGGAGGCACGATGGTAATGAGGAGGAGCAGGAGGCCCCTCCACTCGCTGATCGCCCGCATCCCCCCCTCCCTCACAAAATGCGCAGCTACCCTTCGCATTTTGTTGCGAACAAAAACTACAACGACGTTTCCCCGAGGCACTGTGCAACCATGTGTTTTTCCCTGCTTGCCGGCACGCATGTGATCCACATGTTCAATATGTTTTCCAATGCGCCGTCAGGGCGCGGCTTCGTTCGTTCGTTCATTCATTCGGCAGATAAGGAGGAGGCTGAGGGCATTCACAAAACAACGTCCCCACGCACCCAATACACGTCGGTCGGAAGAAGCAGAATAAAGCATTAAGTAGGCAGGCGTTGAAGTAGATTGCGTTCCGCCCGCCCCGTGGATGAGGAGGGAAGAGGAAAAGTAGACTGGGATCTGGGAATCCAGAAATTGGAGGCCTCCTAGATGCGGTCGGAATAGATGGGGTCGGAGGATCGCGCCGAATCGCCGATGCATCGGCGATGCATCGGCGACGCCAGCGTGGAAAAAATCTGGCTCAAAATCGAGCCGCATCGCCGATGCATCGACGATACGGCGCGATCCTCCGACCCTATCCACTCGGACCCCATCTGGGAAGCCTAGAGAAATACCTCAACGACCGGCGTGTACCCCCTCGTCAGGATTTCGTGTGGTGGGCAGCCCAGGCGCGCGCGCGCGGCGCCAGATCCCAGCCGCCACAGCACCCGAAGGCCTCTGAGAGCCGATGGAGACGCCCGAGCGCACCGCCCGAGCGATCCTGACGCGCGCCGCACATCGGCGGCGAGCGAGGGGGGAAGTGAGAAGGAGAAGGCCTTCTCAGAAGGCGGCGGGGCTTTCCAAAAGCCCTCGAGCCTTTGAGAAGTTCTCTGTGTCGTCGGGGAAAGCTTGGGAAACTTCTCAGGAGGCCGGGGGCCTTCCGAGCCTCCTGAGAAGGCCCGCCCCTTCTCGCTTCCAGAAAGGGCTCGCCGCCGAGCAGAGAGGTCCGAAGTCGAGAAACCGCGTGGAGCCGACAGGTGACCTCGAAGCTTATCGACGCTTGTGGCTAGAAGGTGAACACGGTACTCGGCACAGGCCCGAGGAGGTGGGCCTTCTGGAAGCAGGCAGGCTTCGCCCTCCGATCCCGAGGCCAAGAGGCCGCCGAGGGCCGACGAGAGCCTCGAAGACAACGTTTTCACGCCAAGGCGTTTGCTCGCCCAGCGTCGGGCCCGGGGACTGAGGGGGCAGCGACGGAGGGGGATAGGCAAAGGGGGGGAGGCATCGGCCTGGAATCGGCGATGCATCGCCGATTGATCGGCGATGGGCCCCCGATTGTGAATCCGCACGTTCCTCGGCAGGTTGGGGCTCTCGGGCCCCTATCGGCGATCCATGGGCGAGTGGGGGTCGATGCATCCCCCCCTATGCCCAACCCCCCCTATCCTTGCCCTTGACAAGGGGGTCAGGGGGAGGCGGGAAGGCTTCTTACAAGGAGGCTGCTTCTTAGGAGGCGCCGGCCCTACGTCTATATACACACAAGGCCCGCGTCTTCTAAGAAGCAGTTATGCTTCTAAGAAGCCTCGCCCCCTCCCCCTACCCCCTCCTCGCGTGGCCGACAATGGCGCAGAAAGATAGGGTCCAGGGCTCCAGTCGTGACTATGCGATTTGGAAGCTTTTCCCAACCATCCTGTGGTTGGTGTTGGGTCCTCGTTTTGAAGAGACAGCACCCCGCATCACTCGCCTCCCGCTGCCCCATCCCTCTCATTATCATATTCATCATCATCATCATCATCATCATCATCATCATCATCAGCAGCAGCAGCAGCAGCATCAGCATCAGCATCAGCATCAGCATCAGCATCATCATCATCATCATCATCATCAGCATCATCATCATCATCATCATCATCATCATCATCATCATCATCATCATCATCATCATCATCATCATCATCATCATCGTCATCATCGTCATCATCATCCTCATCCTCATCCTCATCATCCTCATCATCATCAGCAGTACCATCATCATCATCATCATCATCATCATCATCATCATCATCATCATCAGCAGGAGCAGCAGCGTCATCATCATCAGCAGCAGCATCATCATCATCACCATCATCATCAGTATCATAATCATTATCATTATCATTATCAGTATCATTATCATTATCATTAACATAATCATCATCAGCAGCAGCAGCAGAATCATCATCAGTATCATCATCAGTATCGACATCATCATCAACAACAACATCAACATCATCCGCATCAGCATCATCTTCATCATCAATCATTGTCATAATCAGAATCAGCATCAGCATCATCATCAGCATCAGTATCATCATCATCATCATCATCATCATCATCATCATCATCATCATCATCATCATCGTCATCATCGTCATCGCCATCGTATTCGTCATCATCATCACCACCACCACGACCATTATCATCATCACACGCATCATACTCATCATCATCATCACCACCATCATCATCATCATCATCATCATCATCATTATCATCATCATTGGCATCGTCGCCATCATCGTCATCATCATCGTCATCATCATCGTCGTCATCATCATAATCATCATCATCATCATCAACATCATCATCATCATCAACGACAACATCATGTCCGTCATCATCATCATCATTCGTGTCTCCTCTCCTCTCCTATCCTCATCCCCCTCCTCCCTCCTCCCATTCCGCACACTCCTCACACGCTTCGTGGCCCCATAGGGAGCTCCACCTAAGGTCCCAGTGGCGCCGTCCGCATGGAGGCGCCGCCCCATGTCGGCACACTCCTCACACGCTTCGTGGCCCCATAGGGAGCTCCACCTACGGTCTCAGTGGCGCCGTCCGCATGGCGGCGCCGCCCCATTTTGGTACACCCCTCACACGTTTCGTGGCCCCACAGGGAGTTCCACCTAAAGTCCCAGTGGCAGGGTTCGCATCATGGCGCCGCCGCCTCAATTTCTGCACACCCCTCACACGTTTCGTGGCCTTATAGGGAGCTCCGCCGAAGGCCCAGTGGCAGGACTCGCATGGCACCGCCGCCCCCATTTCGACACACCCCTCACACGCTTCGTCGCCCCACAGGGAGCTCCACCGAGAACGATACTCACAACGTCGTCATTTACAACAGCATGTGTGTGGGTCCTTCGCCAGGATGCTTCTGCAACGTCTGATCTCAGGGATATCCCCTTTCATTACGTAGAGGCCTCCTGGATGAGGCTCGAGTAGATGCGGTCGGAGGATCGCACCGCATCGCCGATGCATCGGCGACGCCGATGCATCGCCTACGTCGTCGGTGCATGGGCGCCGTCGGCGTGGAGAACATCGGGCTGCACATCGAGCCATATCGACGATGCCTCCGCGATGAATCGGCGATGCGGCGCGATCCACCGACGCCATCTACGCCGACCCCTCTGGGAGGCCTGGACGAACGCCGCCCGAGAGCTCCTGCCGCACGCCGCAGAGGCCCAAATAACCGACGCTTTGGACTTCTCCCATACGCGGACCCGAAGTCCCGACCCTTTCCCCTGGGCTGGTGCTTCATCCCGAGCCGTGCTTCGACGGCCCCAGCGCCCCGCAACGGGCCCCCAGAGGCCGCAAGCGGCCAAAAACCTCCCGCCGTGATTTTCGTCACGGCGCGAGCTCCTGCCGCACGCCGCAGTGGAAGGCCCGCGACGCCCAGGTCGTCCACACGCCCAGGGACAGCCCGGCGCCCAGCAGCGGCCGCAGCAGCAGCGCCAGGCGCTCGCCGCCCGGGGAGGGGGCCAGTCGCCTCCGAGGCGGGGGGGCGGGCGCTCTGCGGGAGGGGCGACCCCCGTAGGACGAAGCCGGGACAGGGATCGGATCGAATCGGAATCGGAAGCCCTCGAAGCCGAATCGGATTGAATCGACTCGGAGGAATCGAAGTGGGCCCTGCCCTGGGGGCCCGGATTGAGACGAGGCCAGGACGAGGATGAGTTGGGGTGAGGACGAATCGAGCACATCTGAGATCTGGCGGCTCTGGAGGATGTCTCGGACGCCGCGGCATTCTCAAAGCGTTCCAGAAGGCTCTGAGAGCGTTCCAGAACGCTCTGGGACGGATAAATCCACGTCCTAGCCCCGTCCGACCCCACCTCCTTCCTGGTGGCGTGATGATTGGTCCCTAAAAAAAAACATGGCGGTCCATGTTGGACACAAACGTATGACTCTCTGTCGCAGTACTGTGAGTTATGAGCCACGTCTACACCGCAGCACGGGGGAAGGGACATGCCGACATGCCACTCCTTGACAAAAACCTTACCCCGATGTGTGGCCGCCGCGATCGCCGCGGCCACCTCCAAACCGCAGCCGAGTTTTGGTTCGGGGTCATATATCACGCGCAACAGTTCCTGTCGTGAGAAGAAAATGCCCTAGACATACCCGACCCTTTCTCCACGCAAGGCGACCATGTACATGACCGCTCCATACGAAGAGAAACATTGCGAGATATGAAGCACGCTGACATGATTCGCCTAACATCGTCGGACCGCGCGCGCCGCGCACCTGCGCAGGAGTGGGCCACTGAGAACAGCACCACGCGCTGCGTGACGTTCCAGCGCCCTGCGCTGTGGTGCAACAGCGTCGCGCGCTGAATGACGAGACGGCGCCACGCGCCATGTGGGCACGCGCCATGCTGGTGCCCTGCGCTCAGCCGTGCCTCCCAGGAGCCCACGAAAGCGGCGACGGCTGTGCAGTTCGCAGCACCCAAGGGAACCGCAAGGTCTCAAAGTGATCTGCGCTGCCCTCACCACCGGCGTGCCTCGCAGAAGCCCGCGAAACTGGCGACAGTTGCGCTGTTCACAGCCACCCAGAGGCCGCGAGGTCTCAAAGTGATCTGCGCTGCCCTCACCTCCGCCGTGCCTCGCAGGAGCCCACGAAAGTGGCGAAAACTGCACTGTTCGCAGCCACCAGAGAGCCGCGAGATCTCGAAGTGATCTGCGCTGGCCCCGACGCCGATACACCTTCCAGAAGCCCACGAAAGTGGCGACAATTGCGCAGTTCGCAGCCATCCACAGGGCCGCGAGGTCTCGTCTGGATGCGCGTACACCTCCACTCCGCTGGACCTCCCAGGAGCCCACGAAAGTGGCGACAATTGCGCTGTTCGCAGCCATCCACAGGGCCGCGAGGTCTCGTCTGGATGCGCGCACACCTCCACTCCGCTGGACCTCCCAGGAGCCCACAAGACAAAGGGCGACAGTTGCGCTGTTCGCAGTCACACGGGGAGCCGCAAGGGCTCGTCTGGAGCCGCATGCTCCTTCACTTCGTTGGACCTCCCAAGAGCAGACAAAAGTGGCGACAGTTGCGCTGTTCGTGGCTTCCCAGGGAGCAGCGCAGGAGGCAGGAGAAGGGGGGAGGAGGGAGGAGAGAGGAGAAGTGAGGACCACAGTGCGCTCTTCGAAACGAGAACCCAACACAGGAAGGTTGGGAAATACCTTGGCAGAGAACCCAACCCTTTTGTATATGGGGCCACGAAATGTGTAAGGAGTGTGTCGGAATGGACCCGAGTCACCATGCGGACGCAGCCTCTGGGGCCTTGGGTGGAGCTCCGCATGGGGCCACGAATCGTGTGAGAGGTGTGCCAAAATGGACCGGAGTCACCATGTGGACGCAGCCACAGGGGCCTGGGTGGAGCTCCCTGTGGGGCCACGAAACTTGTGAGAGGTGTGCCGACATGGACCCGAGCCAACATGCGGATGCAGCCACTGGGGCCTTGGGTGGAGCTCCCGATGGGGCCACGACACGTGTGAGTGGTGTGCCGAAATGGACCCGAGACACCATGCGAATGCAGCCACTGAGGCCTTGGGTGGAGGCTACGAAACGTGTGAGGAGTGTGCCGAAATGACCCCGAGTCACCATGCGGACGCAGCCTCTGGGGCCTTGGGTGGAGCTCCCTATGGGGCCACGAAGCGTGTGAGGGGTATACCAAAATGGACCCGAGTCACCATGCGGACGCAGCCACTGGGGCCTTGGGTAAAGTTCCGTATGGGGCCACGAAACGTGTGAAGGGCGTGCCGAAATGGACCCAGGTCAGCATGCAGACGCAGCACGTCAGAAACGTGCCGAAATTGGCCGGGGCAGGAGGAGGAGGAGAAACAGGAAGAGGAGGAGGAGGAGGAGGAGGAGGAGGAGGAGGAGGAGGAGGAGGAGGAGGAGGGAGAGGTGGAGGAGGAGCACGGAGGAGGAGGAGAAGGCGGAGGAAGAAGAGGAGGAAGAGGAGGAGGAGGTGAGGAGGAGGAGGAGGAAGAAGAAGAGAAGGAGGAGGGGAAGGAGGAGAGGAGAAGGAGGTGTAGGATGGATGAGGGGGAGGAGGAAGGGGCGAGTGAGTGAGGAGAAGCGCGGCGCTGCGAATTCAAAACGAGGACCCAGCACAGGAAAAAAACGACAGGAGGTTTTTGGCAGCTTTCGGCCTCCCGAGCCTCGACGAAGCCAGACGGCGCGCCCATCCCGAGCAATGACAGCATGGTCTACCTAGGAGGACTCTTGCGCTCCACGGGCCAGAGCGGGCCTGAACTTAGCCGTCGGCTAGGCATGGCCAGCGCAGACTTGGAGATATTGTGCAAAGTGTGGAAGCACGCACGGCTGCCCGTCGACAAGAAGTTAACTCAGAAGCTGAGCGACACTCTGACGCGGAGACAGTTGAACCTCATGGGACGAAATTCCTTGCGGACAGGAAACAGCCCCGTGCGCAAGTGTATTTTCCAGCCCGGTATTTTCGAGCTCGTGCAGGCTGGGGCTCGCCAGCAGGGCTGGTCCCGCAAAGCGTGGAAGTTTCAGGTATACGACCTTGCTTGCCAGACGGCCCGCGGCGAGGAAGATTTGCACGCCTTATTGCATCAAGGGTTGAACGTATAATCTCTGATGTACGACTCTATGATTATGATTTTAATTGTGATACGTGATTCCTGGGGAGGAGCTTCGAAAGCTCGCCCCCGCCGCATGCCCTCCAGGTGGTGTCGTCGCCCCCTCTTCCGCCGTCCTGCGTCGCTCCTCTGCCTGCTCTCCCTCCTGCTCGTCCCTCGAGCAATCGCCCAGGTTGTCGCCATCCTCCCCCTCCCCCTCCTCTCGGCCGTCGTCCCCTGTCGCTTGCCCTCCTCCTCCCTCCAGGCTCCCGGCTCGCCCTGGACTCTGGGGGTGTCGTTCCCTCCTCTGCCTCCCTGCTGTGGTTACTCTCCCGGGTCGTCCACCCTGCGGGCAACTTTGGCGAGTGGCGTGCAGTCGGGGCGCATACGAGATGACACGAGACGGGAAACGAGACTGTTCCGACAGTAACACAGGACAAAAGGGTGACTTGCTGAGGCCGCGACCGCGGTCACCCGCGGCCGACCCGCAACCTCGCGAAGGGGGTCGCGCGCCAGACAGGACACATGGCGAGATTGGCAAATGTCCCTTGCGCATGGATCGGCGGTGGACAAACCTCCCTTTAGTAAACCTCCCCTTGGTGAAAGCGGCCTGGGACCGAAAACGACGGACCTGGACCCGCAAAAAAATTACGGCCGCGACGCCCTCTCGCGAACCGAACACGGCCAATTCCTCAATCGACTTGTCTGGAGGGCTCCTAGATGGGCTCGGAGTAGATGGGGTCGGAGGACCGCGCCGCATCGCCGATACATCGGCGATACACCAGCGATGCATCGGCGATGCATCGGCGATGCGCCAGCGATGAGGCGTCGACGTGGGCGATGCATCGGCGACGCCGACGCGAAGGAAATCGGGCTCCACATCGAGCCGCATCCTCGATGCATCGGCAGAGCGGCGCGATCCTCCGACCCCATCTACTCCGACCCCATCTAGGAGGCCTGGATTTAGGGAGCCCACAAAGGACGTACGCGCCCAGCTATGTACATGAACACGGCCCCTCGATTCGCGAGACCCGCCGCGTTATACGAACATTTGTGCAATGCGTGCTCTCGAAACCAGCGTGGATTCATGTACATGTACGTCCTTGTTTCGCTCCTGAGGATTGTCAGCAACGCTGGAGGCTTCGCATCGCCGGTCGCAGTCGTCCCAACCCCTCCGCCAGATGCACCTCTGGCGTGCACGGCCACTCCCTCTCTCCCCCTTCGGCCTCCGGGGCCCCCGCGGGGCCCATGGTGCCGGCAGGGAGCCGCCGGGGAGGTAAAGAGCTGGTCCGGTGGAAGTCGTCTACGTAAACCTCTGGGGTCGAGAGAGCGAAAAAATGTCCTGGAGTCAGCGAAGTGCTATCCCGGCGAAGAACACCGTCCTTTCTAAGCACGCGGCGACCGTGAACAGGACCGTTCAGTACATAAGAACACACCGAGGGATCTGCAGTGCCCCTGAACTCGTCGCCGAAGAACGCCAGACCGCACTCAAGGGTGGCACGAAGCGCGCGAGGGGTGCGCCGACATGGGGCGGGCCACCATGCGGACGCAGCCTCTGGAGCCTTCGGTGCTCCGTACGGGCCACGAAACGTGTGAGGGGTGCGTAGACATGGAAGGGGATGAAGAGGAAGAAGGGATGAAGGAGCAGGGGAAGGAGGAGAGGAGAGGAGAGGAGAGGAGAGGAGAGGAGAGGAGAGG